GATCCAACAACATCGTTGCTAATAGGACCACACATAATACCTAACAAAGGTTGAGGTTTTCAAGAAGGCATTCATCAAATGTATTTGGATATTATGTACTTAAGGTGGACCTCACAGTGTTGATACCATCAGGGCCATACATAGTGTCTAGTAACATTTAAGGACACCTAACCAGAAATGCAGATGCCATCAGGCCCACACATGACTCCAAATGAAAGTCGAGGTTTTATTTTATAAACTGGTGATACAACTGGATTGTAGGACCTTTATGCTTAGCGATCATACAGTGTCGATGCCATCAGGACCTCACAAGAGTCCCAAAGTACGAATATGTAAAAGTGAAGCCTCCATAAAAAAAAAATAAAAAGAGTGAAGAGAGAAAAATAAGGGTTGATGTATTATTTTGAAAGAGGATCCGTACTAGTCCAGACTTTGAGAAAAAAATGGCTCTTTCGATAGTACCATGGCTTAATCTGACAACTGTATGGCGATCTGAAAGGTTATTGAGCTTTAGGTGGTTAAAGTTGAGTCAACAGCGTGATAGAGCTTCAGTTCCTCTTAGTAAATCATAGGGAAGATGGGGGAGAGGTTGTTATATATACACACAAGCTAGGAGGTCGCGCATGAGCAAGCTTGGCGCATGTCATGTGAGTGAATTTAGTAGGCATCATTTCCTTACATGACGTGACTAAAATAGGTTTTGGTGTATGTTAACCTATGCTCTGTACAAATCACACATGCGTGAAGTACAATTTCTAGAAACTTTTCAGTGTGCTTTTTCAAGGTCAGATAAAATTCAAATACCGAAAAAAAAGGAGAGTAATAAGCAAAAAACAAAAATAAAAATACTTCTGTATGTCTTTTGGCTGTTGGTTGCGGAGATAAAAGCCTCAATCTTCCTGAATATATATTTTATTTTCCTTTTTCTTTTGAGATATCATAGCGAACTACTAGATATATTTTGACCCATCTTGAACAAAACTAGAGACACTAAAAGGTACTTTTTACAATTTTGAAGCATTTCAATCGCAATGATGACGTTCATTTTGCATAGTTCTTTCTAAATTCATATTTGAATTTTTTATGTTGGTTTTGCTATTCTAATTTCCAGAAAAGGTGACAAAATGTTTTTGGAACATTTCTAGAAGTAATTGAAGCCCTTTCTTCAAGATTTTTAGAAGTTCTGGACACATTGGTGACATCGATTTTTCTTCTTGAATCCTTCTTGATTTACACATATGCTCCTGAGCATTTGTTTGTTTGTTTTTTTTCCACATGCAATATACCATGCCCTAATTGAAGATGTGAATTAAGGAATTTGGCCAAAATCGAACATTGGTAACTACATAGTAATGAATTATTTTAGTTGGGAATTTATTTTTAGTGTTTTGGAATTGATTCTACAGCTTCAATAGATCACCTAATTTTCCATTTTAACAGTAAAGGGTCAAATTACTCATGGAACTCATCATTTAACTAGCCAGTATAGCTTATGACTTTGAAAATACAATTAAATAAAGGAAAACAAGAGATGGAACTTCTTTTCTTAGAGATGGGGTCTTTGTTTCTATGATATAGAGAGAGGTTTTTGCTGTGTCATATTTAAATCCTAGGTTGCATAATTTCTTTGTGGCAAATGTGGAGCTTAGGATTGGTGATGAGAATAAGGTGAAATTTTGGGATGATATCTGGATGGGAACATCAAGCCTTAAATCTCAATTTCCCAGGTTGTACCAGCTAAATTTAGATAAGGAGATCACCTTGAAGATGTAGATTTTTTGCAGAGACAGTAGAAACAAATGGTGCTTTAATTTTAGAAGGCCTTTCATTTGGATGAGAAGAAGAAGAGGTGATAAGGTTGCAAAATCTGTTGGGAGCAGGGCCATGCCTTTATCCTAATAAAAGGGATTCAATCAGGTGGAAAGCTGAGTAGTCAAGGATATTTAAAGTTGGCTTTGTGTATAACTGGTGCAAGCAAAGTTCTGGATTTGTCCTCAGCATTCCAGATTTGGTTTGGAATAATTTTGCCCCGCCTAAGGCTAACTTCATTTCTTGGCTTGCATGGAAAGGTAGGCTGAAAACATCTGCATTCCTTAGTAGAATTGGAGCTTTGAGAGGTAATGAGAGTTTGCCCTGTGTACTGTGCAAAGCTGATGGTGGAAACTTCTAATTATCTTCTTTTGTCTTCCTCTTTTGTGTGGCATGTTTAGTCAAATAGCATGGCCTATTGGGGAATTCAATGGGTGATACTAGGATTTTTTGAAGATTTGATGCAATGGTGGTTGGGGTGGAAGTTTAGAAAAAAGAAAAAGAAAGTTTGAAGAGTTGTTCTTATTTCTGGTGTTTGGTCCTTGTGGATATACAGAAATGATTGTATCCTTAACATTACTCAACCTGCCATTGATGATTTGTGTAAGTTAATAAAAATTAGAGTGGTCATGTGGTTGAAGTCTTATGATATGGGGTGTTTCTATTCCATTCCAGAGATTGTTTCAAATATAAAATGGATGAGACAAAACCTCTAAGGGTTGGAGGAGGTAGGCGCTTGCTGAAGCTTGAAAAGGTGTTGTCTTTTGTTTCAGGTTGCTGGGGCTCTTCTATGGAGTTTTTAGTTGTATTATGGCTGCATTATGACTGTGGTTAGTTTTTCATCAACTTGATGGTGTGCTAACAAATGCTTGGGTGTGCATTTGGGTGCCAATCTAGTTGGGATCCTTATGTTCGCTTTGATTTTACCTATTAAAAAAAAAGAAGGCGCAACAGAGCAGTAGTGTGGCGGCAGCAGTATTATGCATTATAGTTGTTGGTTCCTCTCCAACCTTTGTGGTTGTGCTAGCTCATGATTGAGCTTTTTACACTTTCCTTCTTTATTGATATAATCTCACATGAAATGTATGTTGTCGTTATCACTAAAATTTTCTTTTTACTGCTAAAAAAAAATAAAAAATGAAATGCGCCAATATTGGTGGTAATGTGATAATGGGAAGAGTTGTTAGGTGTGTTGGTCGGAGTAGGTAACTGGAGGAGATGAGTCATTAGAGAAGGAAGGGGAGAGTTGTCAGAAAATGGTAGCTGACGATTCTTAATAGAAAATATGAGTGTTTTGGAAAGATGGTAAAAAGTAATTTTTTGACTTTTAATCAAACTTTTTGCTTTTCCAGACAAGTGATTTGGGAAGTTAGTAAAAAGTTACTTTTGACTTTTTTTTATTAATATTTATTTATGATGTTAAATCACAATAAAATGACCAAACTATCTTCATTCAATTTAAAATATTTACAACTTCACTTATGTAGCATATTTTGACCCATGAATGGTAGAATTGTAATTTCACTAGTAGTTTAAAATCAACTTCTCAAATGTCTTTAACTTTTAATTTTTGATACAAATTAAAAAAAAATGGCTAAAAAACAATTAGCCAAAAGAGGCCATAGTTTTCGAAGAGTTGCTGGCTATGGTTGTCACTGGCCAATGGTATCTGCTGCTGACTGACCGTAGTCAACAGCGACTAGTAGAAGCCAGCAGTGCAAGAAAATTTGAAATTGAGGGCTTCCTCAAAATGGCCATTTTTTAAACTACAAATATGGTGTTTGTAACAATTTAAATTACTTGCTTATAGCTTGTTTGTGTCAAACTGTTATTGTTTAGTGTAATTTATTGTAAATTAAAATCTGAAAAGAGAAGACAAGCACCTCTTACAAAACTTTTAGAAATTAGCTGTTTTTAGCCTATTTAAATAATTTTTGCTTAATAAATTATAAAGCAAAAATTGTAATGAACAACGAGCTGCTTATAACTTTTTACCAAATAATTTGGCACAGATTCCGCAGAATGAAATAAACTATAAGCAACTCATTGTTTAGTGCAACTTATGCTTACATCTTATTAATAAAAAATAACTTAAATAAGTTAAAAAGTAACTAATAATTTAAAACTTAAAAAAGATAAATATTTTTAACTTATCATCGATTTCCACTTTATAATAAGCTAAATGAGGCCAAACTCTTTTACTTATAGCAACCGGTATAAGAAAAAGAATTTCGGCTTCAAATTTTTAAAAATGATTTTTTGAGTTTTTAATTAGAATTTTTATATTTTTAGTATTTTTTAATAATATTTTAATTACTTTTTTTTCTTTTTAGTTCCACTTGATCTTGGTATATTTAAAAAATATAAAATTTGTACATAATTTTTTAAAAATTTTATTGCATATAACAAAATATGAAAATGTACTATTATTTTTTTTGGTATTTGGTGAATATCTAAAAAAATTACAAAAAATTTACCTTTTGAATATATTTACATTAGGTATATCTAAAAAATAAAAAATTTACATATTTATTGAAAAAATATAAAAAAATTCAATATTCAAAAAAAAATATAAATCAAATAAGGTGAATTTGTTTTTCATTCTCCAATTTTTGAATCAAAATAATTTATTTATTTGTTTTTATTTTTATTTTTATTTTTTGATACATGAGAAATGAATCAAAGTAATCATGTCCATGGTTTTTCAATGAAAATAATTAATCGGACCCCACATCCCACTGTAACTCAAATCCGTCCATGATTTCACCAGTCATTAAAAATGAATTTGAGGCACATACCCATGTGCAACCTCTCCCCTCCCCCCTCTCTCTCTCTCTCTCTCTCTCTCAAATTCATTAAAATTAAAAAATGAGTTTGGAAAGTTAAATATTTTTTTTTTTTTTGTAAAAGTTAATTATTTTTTTTATAGATTATTTTAATTTTTGATTATTTTAATAGTTTAAAATTTTTATATTTAGGAAAATAATCAAATTTTTTTAATTAAATGTAATGTTTATGAGAGAAAAAATAAAATAATCATAGATTTAATTCGACATTTTATCTTATTAACTATTTAAGTTATTTTATCATTTTGTGAATTTTAACCTAAAAAAATAAAATAAATAATAATAATAATGCTAAAACCCGCCCAACAGGGCCTATATATATGGAACATTTCTGAGACAACTTTTTCTACACCTCGTCCTTTTGTTTGTCAAACCATCCGGGGTCGAAATCCAAGATGAGTTTTATATTGAAAGCTGTGTTTCTCTTTCTCTCACTGTTTCTGTTTTCATTACACAAAACAAAGGCTGAGCATTACAAGAATGCTAGCAGTTCCATAGCCAGGAAGCTTGCAAGTGGGTGCAATTATTTCCAAGGCAAATGGGTATACGATTCTTCATATCCTCTATACGACTTCTCAACCTGTCCCTTCATAGATCCAGAATTCAACTGCCAAAAGTACCGAAGGCCTGACAAACTCTACCAAAATTACAGGTGGCAGCCCTTCTCATGTAACCTACCAAGGTACAAAAAAATTCACTCGCTTATCAATTTTTAACTCATTCTTCTTCCTTATAAAAAAAAATTAAAAAAAAAGTCAAAAATAAATTTTAACCATCTTTCCAAAACACCTCTCTATCCACACTCTCTTTCTTTCTTTCTTTCCTCTCTAAAATGGGTGTATGCATAAAAATGGTGCAGGTTTAATGGGTTGTATTTTTTGGAGAAATGGAGGGGGAAGAAGATCATGTTTGTGGGTGACTCACTGAGTTTGAACATGTGGGAGTCTTTGAGTTGTATGATTCATGCATCGGTGCCAAAGGCTAAATACACAATCATCAGGAGAGGTTCACTTGGTTCGGTTACATTTCAGGTATGAGTTTGATCTTTTTGCTCTACCCCAATTTTTTTCACCTCAGTTTCTCACTTTTCGTATTAAATTTAGCAAAAAATCATTGCTTTGTACAGTAAATGCACGTCTTGTCTTTCACTCTAGCATTTGAATGGTAAAGTTTCTATTCATGCATATTAAATTCTGTAATTTCAAATCCAGTCTTTGCTATTTAATTATGATAATTCGTTGGACTAGACTAAAAAAAACTCAGGTGAGTTTTTGATTGGTTTTATAGTTGATGGTTATAGTGGGAAAAGGGGACAGAGAAAGAGGGAGATAAATACAAAGAAAATTTAAGCCAAACCCAATCTCAAACATGACCTTTGAGCCTCCAGCTCATTTGATCACTAACTTTTGTAAACTTCTATGCATTTAATTGCCAGTTGTGTTATGGTCTACTGCTTTTCAATTTTGAAAAGTAACACATTACGTTCACTTTTGACAAAGTTGTTGCGATTAGATTTTGAATTTGTGGAGAAAGCATGAAAAATTATCATTTTTTTAGGCAGCAGAAAGATGTGTAAAATCTTGTTTTGTTTAACAAACATGGAATTAGAAAGGCAACATTGGATTTGAAACTTGACAGTCAAGTTGATAAACTACTAATACTAAAGTTGGTCATTTTTTGCACTTTAATTTTAAGTTAGGTGGATTTGAATTTTAACACTGTTGAATTGGGATACTTTTTCTCTCTCTTTCTTTTTTTTTTTTTTTTTTTTTTTTTTTTTTTTTGTGGATAAATTACAAATATATCTTTTGGGATTTGTTTAAAATATAGATTATTCTATGTGATTTGAAAAATTATAAATAATCTCTTGTTAGAATTTTTTATTTAATAGAATTAATTAAAAAAAATAAAATTTATAATTGTTCTCATATATAATAATATAATTACCTAAATTATTAATTGAAACATATTTATAATATTATTAAAAACTATTAAATGACTTGATGATTTATTAATAAAAAGGACAATTTGTTATGAAATTAGAAACTTGAGAGGGTGAAATGTAATTTTCAGAACCATAGAAGACAATTTATATTTTAATCAAACCTCAGAGAATGTATTTGTAATTTATCATTTTCTTTTCTCTCTGTTCTTCTCTCTTTCTCTTTTTATTCTTCTCTCTCTTTGTTTTTCTCTTCGAAAAAAAAAGGGTTGGATTGTAGTAAGAAAATGAATACTAAATTTTTAATTTTATCAATTTAAATATTAAAATTTTAATTTATTTTCAATCTAAATTATTTGTCTATTTTTATTAAATAAAACTGACAAAAAACAAATTATTTTAGTCATTAAACTTAATCATTAATGATTGAAATAATTTTTTTCTTCCGTCGGTTTTATTTATGAAAATAAGTTGATGATTTATATCGAAAAAAAAATCTACTATTTAAATTGATAAAATAAAAATTCAAAAATTTATTTTATTATAAGAGCAAAATTCTGGAATTTTTCTTGTAATTTTTTGTTTATTTTGTTTTTCAGTTATGAATCTATAAAAGTTAATCTTGAAACTTTTAAGCAATATTCTCAGTGTAAGAATCTCATAAAAACAATCTTTTGTTGTGTTTTTGTTTTCTATTTTACCTTTTATTTTTGTGTTTCGTATTTTTTTCGAATGAAGTTTTAACGCATCAATGCCTCTGTTAGGTTTGAAGTTTTTAAAATTAGTTTCTAAGTTTTTAATTTATACTTTTTAATAATTTTTTTTAATGTTTCAATCAAATTTTATTATTTTAGATTTACTTAATCTATATACACTTAAAGGCATAAAATTAAAAAAAAAAAATCCTAAATAGTAAAATATTCAAAATGCAGTGCATTTTCATTTTCATTTTTATTTTGTCTTTGTTGATTTATCCAAGGCATTGTTTGATTTGTATCTAGAGATACAATTTTTGAGAAAAAAATCTTAAAAATTTGTTTGATTAAAAATTTTTGAAAAAAAAAAATTCAAAATTACTTTTCTTTCTACTACATATCAATCAATCATTTTTTTTCTCTCTCCTCTCTTTTTCTCATGTCTTACACATCAATCAATTATTTTTTGTCTCACACTCATCTATTCAATTAAAAAATAATAATAATAAATAATTCCAAACTCCAAAATTATTATCAAAAATACAACCAAACAAATTTCAAATTTTGTAAACTCTTTAAAAAAATTTATTTTTTAAAATTGTTTCATAAATACAAATCAAACATTGCTTATGATTTTCTCAGAAATATTTTATTTTTGAAGTGCGTCTAGATTTGATGAATCTAAAAAATACAACTTGAAAATTGAAAAATTATTTTTTTTATAATGCTAAAAATTCGACTATAATTCTCTAGTATTTTCCAAAAATCGAGTTGTTTATGTAAAAAAAATTTCTTGAAAAAATTTCAAAAAGAACTCCTCAAACAATTTTCTTTTTTATTTCAAAAAAATGAAGACATAAAGAAAATACAATCAAACAGGCTATGTGTCAAACTTCTATTCAATCCTTTTTCCTGCAACCACCTACATGTCATGGGTATCTCGAGTGCATAAAAAGATATTAGAATGACAACAACATATTAGAGAAAAGACAAAAACAAAAAATAAAAGGCACTTCCACTTGGATCCCAGATGTAGTGCGAATATAACACAAATTTCTATTGATCTAAAATTGTTGAGAGCTTAATTTTGGGTGCGGTCGGGTCGACATCAGCCAGTTGGTTTGTCTAGCACGTCTGATTTAGTTTTATTTTTTTTAAGTTTAAAAAAATTATTTTAGTTTATAAGGTTAAGCTAAATTAATATTTTTAATCTGATATATTAGTGGCCTATACTTTCAGTCTAGTTCAGCTCGGCTTGGTCATCATTAAATTAATTAATTAATTATAATATATTAAATATATATTTTTTTGTTGAGATCTATACTTTATTGTTATTAATTTTATTAAAACTCATATTCGTAGTGATGCGTGATTGAATTTATTTAAGAAATCTTTCAAGTAATAATGATGTTAGTATATTTATTTAAGAAATATAACGTGTGATTGAATTTAATTATAAAATATTTTTGTTTTAACATATAGTCTGATGGGTGGACTTGAGATTTATAATTATTTTTTAAGTTAGGTTGAACTTGGAAAAATATAGGCACTCGATGTTAGAGCCAGGCTTAGGTAGAAACAAAATCCCTTATTATATACTGTCGGCTTAACCTGATGTCGGCCTAACTTGAACCCGGGCCAACCCGATAACTGTCCACCTTTAGTCGTCAATACATTTTTGAAATATGAGATTAATTATTTTGAACCAATCACAATCTCTGTATTATTCAACTACCTTTAAAAAGGTGAACAAATTCATATTTTCGAGATGTAGTTCAAGTTGTCACGAGGGAACACTTTGGTGCACTTAAAGTGAAGTTTGAGGATTGAATTTGAGTGGTGTTGACCTGTTGTGACAATCTGACTCTACTAACTTATTAACATTGAAGACTCTTAGGCTCGTTTGTTTAGAATTATTGGGAGGGGATTAAGTTTGATATGAGGAAGAAATTGAGAATGTGGTGTTTGTTTGGAGAGATAGGGAGGGGACTAGTAATCCTTTGGTATTAGTAAGGAGGAGGAAGGGGAATTGGTAAGGAGGAGGTAGAGATAGTATTAGAAAAATGGTGAGGGGATTAGAAATTTTTTTATTTTTTTTATTTTTTATATATTAGGAATTTTTTTTAAAATATAATGTTTATTTTTTTTATATTATTTTATTTATTTTATTATTTTATATAAAAATAATTTAACAATTCCTCACTATTAAGCCCTTCACTATCAATCCCCTCACTATTAATCTCCTCACTATCAATCTCTTCTATTCTATCTCCCAAAACAAAAGGAGCTTAGATTTTATCCAAGGCATCATGGAAAAGACACTTTAGTGTTAAAATAAATAAAGTTTTAGGTTCAACTTTATAAAGAGACATTGCCTTACATTATAATCTAACTGTTAACAAACTGATCATTATCTTCTGGAAAAAAATAATAATAATAATAATAATAATAACTACTAATAATAGGACTGGCCATAGTGCAAGGCGTGTTTGACTTGGTTGCCTTACGCCCACAAAGTTTAGCAAAATTAAAGGTGTTCCAACTAATTTTAGGTCTTATAACATTACTAAGTTAAAAATTAAAATATTGTCCAAACTAAAGGATCCTTATAGATTATGTAATCTTAATTAATTATGTCTAAAGTAATATTTAACTGATACTTTATTATATGTAGTTCAATTTTTATGTTGGTATTATAACTTTTAATTTTATTTAATTTAGTATTTTTATTTTTAGAATGGATGATGCTTTTTCTTGTTGTAAATTGGTTTCTATTAAAGGGATTTTAATGTAAGATACCTTGTATTAAGATTTTATAAGATAAATGAAATGTAACATTTTCATAGTAGTTTGGGTCCCTTAACATTTTCATAAAGAAATCTATTTTCTTTTCAGCTCTTCACAAAGAATTATTATTATTATTTTCTTCTTTTTCACAGAGAAATTTCAGCACTTTAAAATTAAATTTCGTAAAGAAATTTCAGCTTGATATTATTGACATATCTTAACAAATAATATATATATATATATATATTGGATCTCTTCTACTATGCAAAGTTAGAGAATAATGTTTTATTAATTTTTCCTTTGTTAAATTATAAAACAAAATGATCATATTTTTATAATTTTGTGTTTTTCAAATGATTTCTTCATGTCTTGATTTATATAAGTAAATTTAATGTATAACTTCAGTGATTATATATGTCAGTAGAATTTTTTGTAGGTATTAGCAAATAAAAAAAAGAGAAGTTATACGTACTTGCTATTTTATTATTTTTTTTCTACTGAAATGGAAAAAAAATATATATTTTATTTATATTTGTGTTACTCTTTTATTTTTAAATTTTTATTTAAATGCAGTTTAGATTTTATTTCAAAAACTCGCATTGGCCTC